CCCCCACAAAAAAAAAAAAAAAAAAAAAAAAAAAAACCACACAAACTCCCAATTTCAGTCCGACTTTTCTTTTGCCAGTAAATGGTAATAAAAAAATAAAAAAAAGAAAGCTGGATGAGTGCTTTTGTACTTGCATCCTCCGACCTAACAGTAAACCAACTGTAACTTTGATCATATGTGTTCAAACTGCATGTCCACAGGGCAGGGTTCCCACTCCTCCACTTGTTTTTTATTTATGGACCTTTTAAGAACTTTCGAGGGCTAATTTAGCCATTTTTGAAGGACTTTTTCTCCATTCAGCAGGGGATTCACGGTGGATTTAATGAACAGAAAGCCACATATCACTGAGCTGGTGTTCAAATCATTGCTGCCAAAGGAAGGGCACATCTTTATTTTTAGGGGCAATCAGTTAAATCTCCAATTGACATACTGTTTGTCAAATTGGCCCGAAATGACCCGAAGTGATCACGTGATCATCATCGGAACTGATCGGAGATGGCGGGAAAAGCAGAGCGGGAACCAGGAAGGCATGGAGCCTTGAGGGGAAGGGCGTCAGGCGCATTTTCCGACAAAACTATTCATTGGAAGGGTGGGGAAAATGAAATGAACACCACAGGTTAATTTTTTAAGGACTTTTACTGATTTTAGAAGCTTTCACTGAAAATTAAGGACAATTAAAAACAATTTTATCAATTCTTTTTTTGTGGATTTTTATGAACTTTAAGGACCCGTGGGAACCCTGCTGGGCTTTGACTCATGAGGAGTTATAGTTAACGGCACACAAATACATCATTTTGCATGATATTTGTGCCTATGCGGCATACGGAAGGTACACAAACGCATGGCCAATTCATCCGTGCATGATCGCCGTTCAAATCTCTCGCCATCCATTTTAATATGAGCGTACGCGCTACCTTCAAGACACCGCTCCCTTTTTACAGAGAAGGGAAATCCCGCAACGGCATCCTGCAGGAAACAATTAATTATCCGTCCATCACAGCGGAGGTAAAGGAGAAACCTCTTTAGCGGGGATGTCAGTGGTGCTGACGGCGCCTACCAAGCATTTGAGAGAACGCGTCCGCGGCGCTATCATTAGAGGGAGGCTCTGATCACAGGGAAGCATGCTGACAGCACATAAAAAAAAAAAAACTGCCATTTGTCTATCAATTCATCCTCCTGTCCCCCCCCCCACCTTCAATTTCTACCCTACCTCCACCTCCTCAAATTCATACATCCTCCTCTTACAACCAAGCGGAACCTTTGGTAGTCAACATCAAAAGTAAGAGAGAATGAGGTACATCATTAGCGAGAGAAGACAGGCAAAGGAGGATGAAATCATTTAGGCGCCGCCGTGGAGAGGAAATTGCTACGCCCGTCTACTGGGAAGACAAAGAGAGAAAAGGGATGGAGTCAAAAGAAGACGGAAGGCGCAACGGATGCCACAAAGCGGAGAGGCCAGATCTCCAAATGGCAACTCTGATTGGGTGATAACGCGTGTGGGTTATCGGGCGAGCGCGGGGGACCGTTAAGGCCTCTCGGCCTCCAATCATCGCCTGTCCCTCTGTGATCTTCCCCAACGGAGCCC